CACAGACACACAGACACACAGACACACAGACACACAGACACACAGACACACAGACACACAGACACACACAGACACACACACAGACACACACACACAGACACACACAGACACACATGTCTGTGTGTCTGTGTGTCTGTGTGTCTGTGTGCCTGTGTGCCTGTGTGCCTGTGTGTCTGTGTGTCTGTGTGTCTGTGTGTGTCTGTGTGTGTCTGTGTGTGTCTGTGTGTGTCTGTGTGTGTCTGCACAGACACACAGGCACACAGGCACACAGGCACACAGACACACAGACACACAGACACACACACACACACACACACACACACACACACCCACACACACACACACACACACACACACACACACACACACACACACACACACACACACACACACACACACACACCCGCGCGCGCGCGCGCGCAGACGGGCAAGGAATTGACGACGTGTCCAGCAGTGCCCAACACCGTGAGTGCACTCTTGTCTATTCTACCTGTCCGCCGCGTTTGCCCCACCGCTTCGTCTGTCCGGTGCGACACTGAAGAACAGGTGCGCGCGCACACTTCTGTCGTCACGTATTAAACAGTTTGATGCGCAGTCACACCTGAAGAAGCTTTGCGTAGCTTTCCACTGTGTGCGCTTGTAAGAGCGCTCGACCAATATGGACAGACCATGCAGATTTCTATCCTCTGCCGTCAGTGTCAGACAAAAGCTCTGCACTTGGGCTGATTTGGGGGCTTTGCTGTATTTCGCCACCTTGGTCGACTCCTCAGAGAAGGTATACCTGTACATTTGACATGTTACACAGACCAGCTCGCGTCCGAGGTTCCATATGCATGGCGAACGCGTGCACGTCGCGACTTTCCCGAGCCGGCCCGCTTCCCAGTTGTTTTTTCCGTGACTCGTCCGTGACTTAGCGCGACAATGAGCTCAAGTTTTGTCAGGTGGAGCCCCATGGATTTGGATTTCTCTATGCATTGCCGGTTTTCTTGAGAATGCAAATGGGTTTGAGCTGTGCCAAAGCTTCAAGAGGAGCCGTCTGTGGTCCCCAAGCCAGCCAAACTCAAGCCTGCTGACGGCTGGGACAACCACTCACACGTGCACGGCCGCCGAAATCCCTATCACCAGCTGTGGAGATTCGGGCTGTGACACCACTTGTTGCCCAGCAGCAGAACTCTGGTGCGCCGGTTGCGGCAATGGTTCTCAGCACGGCTGTGGCCAGTGCTCAGGCGGCTTCATCAACGTAGGCGGTTCGAGCGATGCCAGGGACACCCGCTGTGAAGCCTGCATGGACACACCAGCCTGGATAAACAAAGATGGCAAGACATGCGTGCAGTTGGAGAAAGCAGAGTGCACGGACGAGGACTTCCATTTTCTCTCTTCAAACATGGCTTGCTGTCAGTGTGGAGGGGGGCATCGCCAAGCAACCTCTTTCGCGTACTTCACGCCAACTTTGGTCCTGGGTCAAGATGCCAGCATCACAGGACCTTTGGGCAGGCCCATCCCCCGAACGGCAAGCCACTACTCGATCGATCAGGCCTGCCCGCTTCTGGACTACAACCTGACCTTGAACGCCACAACGGGCGAAGTAGAGCTCGCGAAGGCCGGCCATGTGAAACCATCTCATGGCGTTTTGCCATTGTGTTTCGGTGGGGGGGGTTGAGCCTTAGTGTCTCAACGCGTTTTGCGGACAGGACTGTTCACGAGTTGGCTGCGGTTCCTCCGAGCCGTTCACTCTTCACTGCACCGTCACGGCCCATCAGAACGAAGAGCTGAACTTCACCGCCGCGCTCGATGTGCGCGCAGAGAGGCTCGTCTACGGTGAAGACAACGTCCTATTCGCGCCGATCGAGTCAGATAAGTCAGGTGAGTCCGGGGAATTATCTTTCTCTCCGAGTGCAAGCATGAATCTTAGCGGCGGTGTTTTCTCCATGAACTGTCTTCCGTCTGAAGACACCCCATGGCTGAACCTCGATGATGCAACAGGAGTCATCACCATCAGGCCAGACCAAGTGCCAAACAATACTTTTGGTGTCGCTGACATTCGTGAGCAAGGAAAGGGCATAAAGTGCCGCATCCTGTGGGAGAAGATGCAGTCTGCTGGGACGCTTGAAGACTTTTCCGTTTGGCTTCTCATCCTGTTACCAACACCTTGGGCTGGTGTGTCTTGGAGCATGTCGACAATTCAGCAGACCATAGGCGTTGCTTCGCCCCCAACAATTCCGATGGACTCTCTTCCAAGGGCATGGAGCTTGCCTCCAACCAGCTTCGCCGCAGCATGTTCATCTGGCAACACTGACGTCGCCTTCAAGTTCGATGTGTTGACAGGCCAAGCCACACTCGACGGTCATGAGGCATTCGTGTTGGATACCTCCACTGGCATCTTGGTCTCGCGGGCAAATTCGAGCCTGTCTTACATCTTTGACGCAGATAAGGCGCAGCGCAGGAGCCTGTCATTGAATTGCACAGTGTTTGGCCATTACGACTGGAGAGTCGGCCATCGAATTACGGTGAGCGGGCGGATATCCATTGAGCTCATGGATGACACCTGCTGGAAGCCGTTGGCGTCGAGCAAGTGGCAGATTTCAGAGCAGGTGGATGCCAACTCTTCCAGCAAGTGCAAATCTGCCTGCCGGAGCATGGCGAACTGCTCGCACTACAGGTGCCTCGGAGTCTCCAAAAAATGCCGTATCCACTATCCGTCTTTTTGCCTGTCTCAACTAACACAAAACCCTATACAAAAAATATTATTTCGCTTCGAACATCCCCACCCTCTCTTGGTAGAGATACTCTGGGGTCGGGCTCCAGGGACACTGGGGCTGGGCACCCGCAGCAGACAGGGAGACCCTGGGGTTGGGCACTCAGGAGACTCGGGGCTGGGCACTCCACTTTTCTGGGGCTGGGCACTGGGCACTCCAGGGAGTTGGGCACTCCAGTCTCCTGGGGCTGAGCACTCCCGTGACACTCTGTTGGAGTTTTGGTTTCAAAAATTTGGTGGGCACTAGGCAGACACTCCGGGGACAATCTGGCCAGGAAGACTCTGGCGCTGGGCACTCTGTCTGAACCTGGCCAATTCGGAGTCTGGGATTGGGTACGGGCTCGAAATTCAAAAGTTGGACATTCTAGCGAGATTGGAGGCTTGGGACACTCTGGGTTGGGCACGCCGGGGAGACTGTGGGGTTGGGGGCTCCAAAAAATGTGGGGTTGGGAGTGAAAAAATTTGGGCAATTGAGGAAAAGTCTGGAGCGGGCACTCCAGGAAGACTCTGGAGTTGGGCAGGAGAAGAGTTCCGGGTGAGGAGAAGAGTTGAGTCTAAAATCTAACAGTTTAAAATCTAACAGCCTCACACCGAGGGTGGGGAATAAATATGCATGTATATGTATATGTTGTACTTATATTGTGGTCTTCAGCCCAGCGCCCGCGAAGGTTCAACGAGACCACTGGGGCCTCCAGCTGTTTGTTTTTGCGGGCTCGCTGTCAAAGCGACTCTCGCGCATGTGTGGACCATGGAGTTGTGACAGAGAAGATCCCCCGATGTTCTGAGCGCGAGACCTGCGTCAGCTTCAACAACCCCGCCAACCAGTTTTATGCCGGTGTCTATTGTCCAGCCAGTGTAGATAGCCAGAATGATGTGGTCTATCTGGCCACGGGGGTCACGCAGCAGGACGCTCAGTACCTGGCTTCTTACAACGCTCATTCAGGAGCGGATGGAATCAGTTGCGAGCAGGGAGACTTCATGCTGCGGCGTCCGGACCCCTCCACCGATTTCGCTGACCCAGATGTGAACAACTCCCGAGTAGAGTTGCACGGGGAGAGTCTGGCCTGTGTTCGGCCTGAAGGGGGTGGAGATTTCATCTCGGCCATCTTTGACAACGGCAAGCAGCAGGTGTCGTTTGTGAACAACAAGACGTTCGTGGGGGAGAACTCCGCGGACCTGTACGTTGATCTCCACAACCCAGACTGCGCAGAGCCCAACCTGACAGCTCACTCCCCTGATGGCGATCCTGGAGCCGTTCCTGGGTACTCCGTTGGCTTTTACAGTGTGTCCGTCCGTGCATCCGTCTGTCCGTCCGTGCGTGCATGGTTGCGTGCGTGGGAGGTGCGTGCGTGCGTGCTTGCGTGCGTGCGCGTGTGCACGCGTGCGTGGGCGGGTGCACACGTGCGTGCGTGCGTGGGTGGGTGGGTGGGGGGGTGGGTGGGTGGTGGGTGTGTCTGTGTGTCTCTGTGTGTCTCTGTGTGTCTCTGTGTGTGCGCGGGTGTCTGTGTCTGTCTGTGTGTGTGTGTGAGTGTGTGTGAGAGTGTGTGTGAGAGTGTGTGTGAGAGTGTGTGTGTGTGTGAGTGTGTGTGTGTGTCGTGTGTGTGTGACAGTCTCTGTCTACCAAGAGTTCAAGCAGGGGGGCATGGCCCTCACTCACAGATCATGCCCAACGAAGCTAAGTGAGTGAGGGGGATATCAGTGCCCGGCCAGCACTGACGTACCTGCAAATCTGTTTCACAAGTTTCCATGTCGGCCTGATTCGCTCAGGTTTGATTTGATTCATCCAGACCTCTGAACGCAGGAGCATGTGAACTGAGATAGGGATACCAGAGGGAGGATTCTATGAGTGTGTTCCAGGTGTATTTCTTTTCTCGCTACACCTGCGATCGGATTGCCCATCATTGATTGTCCCTGATCGGACCTCAGCAGATTGTTGCCCTGTCGTGGACCTCAGAAACCGTCATGTCCTTAATGGACCTCAGATGAGCGTGCGCTGAAGAGACCCTATTGATCGCCTTGAATAGACCCCAGATATCTATCAGCTCCGTGACATTTTTTTGTCAAGAAGTATATTGGTGAAGTGGTGTGCCGGCAGCCATGTCTGCGACTCTAAGTACTCCAAACGCTCATGGGAGTGAAGTGGTTGGTCAGGAGAAGGGGCTAGGCAACCAATGAGTTTTCCACACGCCTGCGCTGCAAGCCGCGGTTTGTTTGCTTATTTGTCTTGTAGCCAGCATTGCGGGGCTGCGGCAGTTTCGTAAGACCTGCGATCCGTAGATGCTGAGCTTATGGACAGGCGCTTCGGGGCTGCGGCAGGCTCACGAAAGACCTGCGAACCGAATGCGCCATGAATTCTGTTCGCTTGCTTGCTTGCTTTTCGCTGCTTCCGTCTCGAGTAGCTCCGCCAAGCAGTATGACGGATGCCTGTTTTGGTGGCACACTGACAGATTCCGTTAGCAATGCCCTTTTTCTTTTCAATTTCCGGGTCCGAGTATTGATTTCGGACAAGAGTGTTCTCTGCTTTCTCGCCTTTGTCGTCTTTAAGAAGTCTCAAAGCGAAGCCGCCAGCCGCCGGACCAGGGATGTCACCGTTTGTCAGTGTTTTTCTGCTTTGCATTTCAAGATGCCCTTGTGGCTTCGTGTGTTCGTGTGTGTGACAGCCTCCATCTACATCTATTTATAAATGTTCAAGTAGGGGGGCATGGCCCTCACTCACAGATCATGCCCAACGAAGCTAAGTGAGTGAGGGGGATATCAGTGCCCGGCCAGCACTGACGTACCTGCAAATCTGTTTCACAAGTTTCCACGTCGGCCTGATTCGCTCAGGTTTGACTTGATTCATCCAGACCTCTGAACGCAGGAGCATGTGAACTGAGATAGGGCAGATAGGGATAACAGAGGGAGGATTCCATGAGTGTGTGTGTGTGTGTGGGTGTGTGTGTGTGGGGTGTGTGGGTGTGTGGGTGTGTGGGTGTGTGGGTGTGTGGGTGTGTGGGTGTGTGGGTGTGTGGGTGTGTGGGTGTGTGGGTGTGTGGGTGTGTGGGTGTGTGGGTGCGGGCGTGGGTGCGGGCGGGCTTGGTCATGCGCACGTACTGTATGCGTGCGCGCGCGTGCTGGAGTCTAGAGTCTAGAGTCTAGAGTCTAGAGTCTAGAGTCTAGAGTCTAGAGTCTAGAGTCTAGAGTCTAAAAGGTCTAGAGGTTCTCAATACTCCAGTGCTCGAAGCTCTGACAGTTCAGGAAGAGCCAACTCTTGCAATCGTCGTGGATGATCTCTCGACACTCGAGCCTGCCGACCTCTCTTTGCATCCGTGCGAATGCCTTCCGCCTGGCTGGGGAGAAGAGGAGGAGAGCTCGGGCGAAACGAGCACGAGCGAGAAAATCTTGATCGTGCACGGGTCGTTTTCCTGCAGCCAAGATGGACTTCTGTCCGTCCTGCAGCTGGCTGTGCAGGAGCCGCCTTTACAACTGTGCGAAGCAGCATGTCGCAAGGAGACATCTTGCGCCTTCTTCTGGGCAGGTACGTCAGGCTCCACGCAGTGCAAACTGTACAGCCGTTGCAACCTCCTGGTCCGAGACATGGGCTCAGAGGGCGAGCTTTATGGCCGGCCTCCCAAAACGGCGCTTTGCAAGAAGTCGGACCCGGAGGCCTGCTGGACCAGCACAGTGCGCCGGTCCATGCTCGGCGCAACGGCCCTGAGCCCACAGAGGACAGCGGGCTCCGAGTCCCCGGAGCCATTATTCGTCGCAGGCGCTTTCAACAACCGGACCGAGGCAGAGGCCGGGTGCACGGCAGCCGGGCGCTGGCTCTGCAGCTCCTTCGACCTCCGCGTCGCGAGGGCCCGCCCTGTCGACAATGCCAAGACGGCTTTTCTGCAGGACGTTTGTGGGACTCAAGATGCCGACGGCTTCCACCAGACCGACTGCGGATCGCAGATGGGCGCCTTTTGCTGCGCCCATTGCGGGCTTCGTGTGCAGATCGAGCCTGAAGGGCCAAGATGCCCCGCAAGTCACCCGTGGGCCTACCGCCCAAAGAAGAACTTCGACTTGTGCTGTGCATCGGAGCACGGGGTAGAAAGCGGCCTCTACAACTCCGGCCTGCCGGAGGGGCGTTCGGACTCCTGCCTTGGTTACCATTACACGGAGTGCAAACCGTCAGGAGGATCTGCAGGATCCGGCTGCGCTGACTACAGGAGGACTCTCACGCTCAGCTCGGGCTCCTACGCGACCCTCGCCGAGATCGGAGGGCACGTCCTTTCCCTCGAACTGCTTGGTGGGCCGCTGTGCTCAGCGACCCTCTATCAAGGTCTGGCACTTAAGATCCAAGGCAGCCTGTGTAGCTTGAAGTGATCGTATCGCGGGACAGCACGGGAGGATACGGGAGGGAGGGACCACAGCTGACCAATTCAACAGAACAGCCGAGGTCAGGGCTTCACAGGCATGGCGCAGTCACTTTCGCCAGGAACGTCAATGGATGCCTCCGCACTTTCCGCACTTGATTTCCAGGTTTCGTCGGTACAGGTGCTGGATGACCGGGCCTGTGAAGTCGCGCCGCCGCTTCGGCGGCCCAGCGGTCGGCCCTTAACGGAGTGCAGAGCAAGCGGCTGTGCAGATGCCGCCAAGCAAGGCACGGCGTGGCAGTGCTACTTGCCTGAAAAGCAGCCTGGCGGCCGGTGCTTGTTCCAAGACTTGCTGGAGCTTTGCGACTGGAAGCTCCTCCTTGGCGGCGTCGGTGTTGAGACATGTGGTACATGCGATTATTCTCTCTCAAACTCCCACTACTGGCAGCACAAGAAGCCTTTGAAAGGCGTCTTCAAAGCCGGTGCAACATTGGAGCTGTCCTGCTGGCATGAATTCTATGCAGCTGTTCCGAGAGAAGGACTTTTCGGACAGATTCATGGGGAGCGCAGCCAGCTCACCTGCTCTGGGGGAGATTGGGTGGCAGCATCCAGCTTTGCTTGTGCAGCCTGCGTGCAGCTGGTGCGTGCTCCGTACGCAGACTTGCAGAAAGCAGAGAAGCAAGAGCGCCCTGGCGCCAAAGTAAGTTAAGCATGAATTCTACGCGCTCCGGCTCTGAAGGAGGTCCTGAAGGTCCAGGAAATGGAAATTACCGTCCAGGGTCGCTTCCCTTAGCCTAAACCCTTTCCCACTTTTTTGGAAAGTACGTAGGAAGCCACAGGGGTCCCAGGAGTCCCAGCACATCCCGAAATAGTCCCTACAAAGGGTGACTCTGGCAGGTCACTGGCGCCTGAGGGATTTCTAGGGGGTCTTCCCGAGGATCAGGCAACAAAAACAACTCGTTTCGACCAAATCCACCGTAAACCCAGCAGCACAATTTCCAACAAGGGACATACACTCTTTTTGCGAGGCTTATTGTCGTAGGTTCTTTCGTTTCAGCCTTGGGGACCAAATGAGCCCTAAAATTGGGGTCATATACCCTATACTACTATAATCCTTATTAAGGTATATGAACCATAAACCCTTTTGGGGTTCATTTCGTCCCCAAGGAGGCTGTCTAATTTTGGATTGGCAGGCTGTACTTCGTCGTGCGGCACGAGCTACAGGTGCTGGTAGACTTGAGGGTGCCGCGCATGATTGATCAGACGGGGCAGCTCGTCGAGGCCAACATCAACCCCAAGGAGCTCTTAATTCAGCTACTAGGGTTTAGGGATAACTGTTTAGGGTTTAGGGAGTTTAGGGTTTGGGGTTTGGGGTTTGGGGTTTAGGGGCAGTCTTGGCACTACTCTCTGCGCTTGTAAATCATGGATCGTCGTGGCCATCCCCTGAAAGGAGTGGGTGGGAAGCTTGCGGGTCCATTCTGGAGCCCATGGTCAAGATGGAACCCCGGGTGGTTTTTCGAGGTTTTTTTTGGAAGTAAGCGCAGCAAAGTATCGTGATCGAATGGTTCCTTTTTTCCTTAAGCCTTGGGTTGCCAAGGAAGAGCCTGGACGACCTCTGATGCAGGCTTCCACATGTCGCCCCGGAACGCCGACGATTCTGCCCAGCTCTTCCATGCGAGCAAAACGGGCAAAGCCGACGATGCCGGTGTGGTCTTTGCTTCTCTTCAGTCGAAATGCGTCACGGCCGGGGCCAACTTTACTGCCGCCGACAAGCTTGTGTCGGGAGATTGCGTGGCCAATTCAAGGCAGAGGTGGTGCGCCAGCCCAGATGGATTTCTAAGCGCATCTGGAGTCTGCATTGACGCCTTTGCCAAATTGTCCCTTTGCCCCTGGAACAGGGCGGGCACTTTCATGACTGAGGCCGTGCGGGTTGCAAGCCCGCGGGCCATGAGCGCACCATCCGGCGACAACATCATCCTGGACCCAGGCTATTCAGATCAGGGTTCTGACTTGGAACCGGACTACGCGGCGCAGCTTTGCATTAAAGCCGCGAGGCGACACTGCACAAGTTTGGTCTCTGATATGTGGTGGCCGAATGAATGGACGTCGGTAAGCAACCACAGCCCATGCGCCGAGAAAAGTGTCAGCGATACGAAAGACGGATCCGCACCGTGGATCAGCCTCAAGGGGGAGCATTTTCTTTACTGCAAGGAACTGTGTTTGCTGGATCACGACTGCAAGGGCTACGGACTAAAAGCCTCGAGAGAGCGGACTTGCGAGGCTGATTGCGAGTGTCCTTATCGTCCACCGTGCTGTGATAACTTCCCTCCGTGCCCCAACTCAAATTGCAACTTCCATCTTCCGTGTTGCGACACCGGTGATGATTGCATGATTCATGGTTGGACAAAGCCAAAGTACTGGTGCACCTTCCATAATGCCTTCCCCAGCGAGGGTGATCCCTTCACTGCAGACGAAGATGAAGAAACAAATGCTTTCTGCTGGAAACTGGAAAGGCTGACAAGCACGACTACGACCACGACCACCACGACCACCACAACAATGCCGACGGTGCCAATTGGCTTTGCGTTGGAGTCCTACTCAGGTGCTTGCGAGGGGACACCGGCGCTCGACTCGGTTGTGTGCGGAACAAGCTTCGGGAACGAATGTGTAGAAAGGTGCGCTGTCTACTGCTGGCTGCAGCAGAGCTGCGCTGGGTTCGACCACAAATACCTTGGAAACGGTGATAGTGATGCTACGTGTTCGTTCTACCAAGTAGTCAACAGTACCACTGCTATGGAGGGCATCATTTGCTTACGCAAGTTGCCGCAAGAGACATCGCAGCTTTGCCAAGTTCCAAGGGAGAAAGCTGGATTTGGAGGCTTCCTGGCAGAGATCCCACCAGGCCATGTCTCCAGTGGTCAGGTGTGGAGACTTCGATCCTCCGAGAAGCGTTCCCAATGCTTGGAGACTTCGGCGCAATCGTTTCTTGCTGCGGCTTGTTCACTGCAAGAGAGGAGACAAGAGCTGGACGTGGTGCTGATCACGGCAACGATGATGTCGGACCTGACAGGACAGTTCACGAAAGCGGTGACGGCAGCAGCAGAGTCTTCTTCGTGGAACTTAGAAGATCTGACAGCACACGTAGACTGTGGGGACTTCCCTGTGAAAGTATTGACATTTCCAACGGCCCAACACCATGCAGATCCCGTGTGCTCAGTTGGAGGCGCCATCGGTGAGCCGAGGACGAACTCGAGCCAAATCGCTGCGGACGCAAGCAACCCACAGTCCATGAACCCCTTTGGCTGCGGCCCTGGCGAGTTGCTCATGTCGCTGAAGAAGGATCGTGGTACATTAAAGATGACGTACACTTGCTCAGCCATGGCTGGCATGGGAGAATGCATGGACTACATCACGCCGCAAGTGGATGTCCATCAAAGTCTGAGCACAGCAGCAATGAAGTGCAGTGCCCTCCAAGGCTTGCAGAGGGCGATACCAGAAACGTCCACTGGAGGCGCGTGGCTTCGATTCAGGTACACCTGTTGCTCAATCAGTGCTATTCCGATGGCCGTGACGCCATCGGGCCACATGATTGCTGGCTTGTCTTGGGAAGGTTTGTATTGCCCCCACTCCCGAGACATCTCTGGGCGCCTGCGATACACGCAGCGCAGCTCCTTCGGTGCTTCAGAGTCCGTTTTGGATGGCCGAATCCTCTATGATAAGGCCTGAGCCTGGAGCAAAAAGTAGGGGCAACGGTTTGTAGTTAGGGACCGTGAAATGGGCCTTCCCAGGCACGTCATTATGTGGACATGTGTGTCCAACAGCAAGTCCTAATGCCTGTATTTCGTTGTTGTTGTTGTTGTTGTTGTTGTTGTTGGATTCTGGCCCAAGATGAGGATTTTATTTCTCGTAGCCGTAGCGAGCTTTCTTGGGTGCCTGGGTCCCAAGTCCCAGGGTCCAGCCATGGATCAGAATCGAGGGTTTCGGGAAGTAGCGCCCCCCGATGAAGCTGAGCAGCATGCGCAGCGAAGTCAGCTAACCATGAACAAAACCGGCAAGCGAAGCTACCAAAGAGCTTGTAAAGTTGCCCTGGCGAAGGGAGCAGCACTTTACAAAGGCCGTCTTCTGACAGCTCAGGCTCTAGGAGCTCATGAAGGACAATTCGCGTCTCCTGCGAAAGCGGAGAGGCGTTCTTTTCAACCGAACAGACAGATCCATCACAAATTTGACATGGAAGTCCTTACTTGGAACGCAGGCTCAATTACAAGTCGAGTTTGGAACGAGATTCTGGCCCTTTTGGCAACAACAGAGTACAAGAACATCAAAATCGTTTTCCTGCAGGAATCGCATTGGCAGCAGGACCAGGTCTACAGCTCAGGCCCGTGGTCAGTCCTAACCTGTGGCTCAACAAGCAGACACAAGGCTGGCCTGGTTGTCTTGGTGCATAGCTCACTGGCTCCTCTTTCAGAAATTCGCAGCACTTCCATTGTTCCAGGGCATTTGCAGCACGTCATGATCCCGTGGCAGAGATCCAGAATACATCTCCTGAACCTGTACCAGCACGTCTGGGATTCAAAGCTTTCGAAGACGGAAAACAGAGGCAGGAGAAAGGACGTGATGACACAGCTCGAAAATCGAATACAGAGAGTCCCGCAACGTGATTTCTTGATTGTGGCTGGGGATTTCAATGCGCATGCGGTGACTGAACGTCCTCATATTGGACCAAGTGTGCCTCATCGAGTACGGTTTGCAAATGCGGATGTGAAGACACTGCCCTCGCTCTGCAAATCCTGTGGACTCACTGCGCTGAACACATGGGCTTCTGGCCATCGCAGTACGTATACTAACAGTGATGGCACATATTCCTCTCAGATCGATTTTATGCTGGTCAGACTGCACGATGCTCGGAGGAGATCCAAGGAGGCCTACTCTGATAAGAACTTTCCTGTGGCTGCCTACAGAGATGGATCAAAACATTTTCCAGTGCGAGCTACTCTGTTCATTCCTCCTTACAGTCCTACACCCAGCAAGCCACGGCCGTTTGATGCCACAGCCCTGGATGCGAGCTTTCGGCGAAAGATGACAACTGGCATGCATACTCACATCGTCTGACGGAATCAGTGGTGAGGACAATGCAAGAGAGACCGTCTTGGCAAGAACTGGATGAAGTGATGGTTCGTGTATCAGCTGAGCACTATCCTCCTCCACGCAAGTCTCAGCCAGCAGCAGGTCCAATTCATCAGGAATATTGGAAGAAAGTGCGGCAAATCCAGGCGCACAAGCGGGCTGGAACCGAGCATAATCCAGACTGCCAGAAGCTTGTGGAGGACATCAAAGAGGAGGCGCGGGCTTTCAAAAAACAGCAAAAACAAAGAAAGCTAGAGAAGCAAGAGCAGTTGCTTCTACAAGCCCAGGAAGATAAAAGGCAACAATCCCACAAACTGGCTCATGCTCTCAGGAAACTTGCTCCGTGGCGCCCAGTGCAGAGAGTCAACCTAAGGGATCAAGCAGGTGAGCCGCTTGATACGGAGGCCTCGCTAAAAACTATGCGCGAATACTCGAGTCAAATCTTCTCCAAAAGTCCTCCTTTGCACTCAGTTGCCGCTGTGCCCAGAACAGCGATCACCGCCTTGCAGGTATCCTCGCAAATCAGGACAGTGCCAGTGGGGAAAGCAGTCCCTAGCACCTCAGCCCCAGTATCAGCTTGGAAGAGTCTAGGTCCTGACGCCCACGAACACATAGCAGGTCTAATCAACTCTGAGGTGTCCCAATCAGAAATTTCCCCTTATCTAAAGGACCCTCGAATTGCATGGATCCCCAAGCCGGGCAAGCCAGCCACCGCCATGAAAAACCTGAGGCCCATAGGAGTCATCAGCGTGCCAGGCAAAGTGCTAGCAGGCGCAGTGAAGACTCGCATTGCACCAGCATTGCAGGTGAGCTCACAGCTTCAGCCTCAATTTGCGTACATTCGGCAGAGGGGGGTGCGGGACGCTATCGCGAAAGCATGTCAGCACCTTGATTTCGCGCAGCAGCTCCGTCAAGAGCATCGCAGGGACCTGCACAAGTCCCAACGCGGAGCTAGGCAGGCTCAGCTGTCAGGGGCACTCACTATTTCGGTTGATCTGAGCAAAGCTTTTGATTCTGTTAATAGACATGAGCTGCTAGCTGCCTTGGATCGCCTGGGAACAGACCCTGTTACGAAAGAACTGGTAGTTCAGCTACACAGTGAGACCTCCTACAACATGGGCACAGGTGGACTAGAGATTCAAGTTCCCACTTCTTCAGGAATCAAACAAGGTTGTAAGCTAGCCCCGGCATTGTGGCCTGCGCTGACACTTCTAGTCATGAGCAGAATGGAGCAGAAATGGGGCCCAGATAGCAAGCAAGCTAGGGAAATCCTAACGGTCTTTGCAGACGATTTCCTGCTCCAGGAAACCTTCTCGAGCTTTCCTGAACTTCAGAAAGTCCTGCTCAGAATAGAGGCTTTCCGCAATGTGCGGCATGCAACAGGCAGTTGCGCACAATGCATCAACTTCGCAGACATGTGGAGTCAGGCATTTGCCCTCAGCTGCACGAGCTGAAAGAACGAGCCAAATCCTGTACAAGCTCAGAAAGCATAGCAATGATCTATCAGTCTAGCGTGCAGGAACAACTTAAGAAGGATCCTGATCTTCTACTAAAAAAGAGACATGTCACTCAGCTTCTATTAACGAACTGCAGTCTCTGTGGGCAATACATTGTTGGCCACAAAGGAGTGAAACAGCACATTCAGAAAGCTCATCCTGCTTTCTGGGCACAATCCTCGGCATCCATTCTTGCCAACATGCGAACACATAAGCGCCTCCTGCACAAAAAAGAAGAATGTAGGTACTGTCGCATTGTGGTAGATGCTCCAGTACGCCATGCAGAGCAATGTGTGGTTCTGCTTCAGACATACGCCATGAGTGCAGCTTGTGCCAATCCTATGGAACTGCCAGATCTCTTTAGTGCGGATCCTCCAATTGGCCAGGTGAGCGGCAGGGAGGCTTCCTCCCAGGAGGCTTCCTCCAGCAGCCGAGCTACTTTGCTGACATACACTGCACGCGTCTCGGGTCGTTCAACCACTGCACCTCCCACAGCTTCCATGCAAGACGCTGCCTGGCGTCTAGCTTATCATAATCCGCATCAACTGTGCTATGCACACACGGTCGTTCATATCCTTCTCTCTCTCTTGTCAGACGGACTGTTCCCAGATCCTTCCTTAAACTCCATCCTAACGGAAATAGGTTCCCTGAATGGCAGATCCTCTCATGCGGATGTTCGGAGGTTGCGACATCTTCGTCCGCTGCTAGCAGGATGGCGATTACGACCCAGGCAGGAGGATGCATCTCAATTTCTGTTGCATATCTCTCAGCGGATCCCGGATCTTTCATCAGATAAATGGGAGGCGCGAGTTCATATCTCAGCACCGGAGGAACGCATAAGTGTTGAGGAAAAAGGTGGCTTGATTCTGTATTTACCCGAGCCGCCGGATGGACTCTCGACTCTTCAGCAATCAGTAACACAATGGACGAACAGGGGTAGTGTGTTTGCCTTGCTTCCAGATACAAGACTAATTTGCTTACAAATTCAAAGATTTGATCAGCAAATCAAAACTTCCCGCCCACAAGCGCTGGACACAGTTCTTGAGATGCCAATGTTTCTAGATAACGGAACCTCAACAGAAGCAGTGTCCTTTAGCCTCTATGCATTTATCATTCATATCGGTGAAGACTGGAACTCTGGACATTACAGAGCGGGATTTTGGAGAGAGAGCGTAGCGTACCTAGCTGATGATAGTGAATCGCCAAGACGCACCACGCTCCTCTCGGATCAAATATGTCGAGGTTCTTACTTGGCCTTCTATGTAAGAGTATAGATTCAGCTAGGTAGCCATGAGGCAGGCCTTTGCACAATCGTCAGCACCCTCCAAATCCAAGCGTGCGGATGAGCCAGATGAAGATGATTCTCCAACCAAGAAGATCAGACAGGCTGAACCGAAGAACCTGCCAAAGCAGAAAGCCAAAGGAAGGGGTCGGGGCACTGGCCGGGGCGCTTCAAATGAGAAAGTCCTACAGTCCCTAACCAGGCTGTCCATCAACCATGAGGACTCGCTGAATACACTTCAGCAGGAACTGAGCTGGGTCATGTACCTGACCACCGGTGAGCTGTCCATTCTACCGAACATCTATGCGGAGAAGTCCAAAGACGCTTCGAAGTTGTCTACTCCATTCAGAACTCGAGCCATGAGATTGGTCTTGGAGCAGACCTTAGAAAGAGTAGAGCAGATTCAGACTAAAGAAGACGTGCTAGCGGATGCGGAGAAAGAGGGTTGGGTGGTACGTGTGAAGGACACCGAAGCTCCAGCCTTTGTCTACCAGCAGTGGAGCAGTGAGCAAGACAAGACGGTGCATGACACTGCTCGAAGGGCAGTCCCCGCAGAAGACGTCGTTCAATTGCTCAAAACGTGCTTGGAGGAGCTTGCGCAGCACCCACAGTTGATCTCCAGGCTCATGCCATCACGTCCGATCGTCGAGAAGATGACAGGTGGCCCAGTTCGAGTTCACATCCAGGTCCAACTCCAACATCTCAAAGGTAAGTTCCATCAAGCCCTGTCCGGACTCACGGACAATGCAGTCTGGGCAGCCATTGAAGGCTCACTAAGGCCAGGGAGCGTTCAGCGTAGTCCAACAGCTAAGTCGCTT